AAAAAAAAAAAATGCTGCACCTGGGTGCAGTGGCACATGCCTATAATCCCTGAGTTCAAACCCAGTCCTTCAAGGAAAAAAAAGAAAGGAAGAGAAAGAAATGAGGAAGGGAGGAGAGAAGGCAGGCAGGAGGGGATCCTAGCACTGGGGAGGCTGAGGTGGGAGGATCCCTGAGTTGGAGGCCAGCCTGGGCTACACAGCAAAACTTTGTCTCAAAAAAAAAAAAAAAAAGCCCTCGAAAAACACACAGGGACCTGGGATATAGCTCAGCAGTGTAAGGGCCTGCCTGGCAAGCTCAAGGTAACACGAGCTCAAGCCCTGGTACCACAAAGAAAAACAAACAAAACCCAAATAATCAAAGAACAAATGATAAATTCTCAAAGTGCTGAATACAGAATCCTCTGGATTTTTTTAATCAGATTTTATTTTAGATCTTCTAAATTTTACCATATTTTTAAAATAATTATTCTACCCTAAAGTGATAGCAATTTTTGTGTGACTTGTTTTTTTCTGCTCTTCCATCAGCATTTTATTTATGGCTTTTTTTTTTTTTTTTTTTTTTTTTGAGAGAGTAATGGGGACTGAACCCAGGGCTTTCACACTGAGCCACATCCTCAACCCCTTTCTAAAACTCTGAGAGGGCCGGGGAGATAGCTCAGTAGAATAAGCGCTTGCCTGGCAAGCACAAGGTCCTGAGTTTAATCCCCAGTATGACAAGAAAAAAAAAAAAAAAAAAAAACACCTCTGAAATAAGATCTCACTAAGTCAGTAAACTGTTAGGCTCCAATTTGTGATCATTCTGCCTCAGCCTCCCAGAGTAATGGGATTATAGGCATGTGCCATCATACCCAGCTTCTTTTTTCCAAAGCAGCCATCTTAGTTTTCACCGGCATAATTCTCTTTAGCTCTCATGGTTTCACTGATTGAAGTAAAAGCTAATATAATTACATAATTACCGTAACAACTTCAACTGACAAAAACAGGTTAGGGAATACACACACAGCTAACTGCTGGACCACCAGCTCCATGCCCAGAGCTAGGGGAGCAAGTCTACGGGCAAGGGGCTGCTGGGAGGGCTCTCCGAACAAAGGTCGGGGGTGTGGGGGGTACTCTTGCTGCTGGTCCACATGCCGCACTACAGGAGTACCAGCAGATGCTGTCCACTGGGCCAGGAGCAGTGACCCAGTCCTCTACATGAAAAGAAAGCCAGGCAACCCAAGTGTGGTTGTGCACACCTCCCAGCACCTGGGAGGCTAAGGCAGGGGGATCCAGGAGGATCACTGTAAGTTGAGGCCAGTCTGGGCTACACAGCAAGTTCAAGGACTGCTTGCACTACCACATCTTACCAAAAATAAATAAATAAAACCCTGTAGCTTTGTAAAGGCTTTTGAATTAGATGCGTGAGTCTAACTTCGTTTCAGGATTATTTTGGCTATTTGGGATCCTTTGAATTTCTATCAGATTATCTAGTTTTGCAAAATAATAAACTGGTATTTTGGGAGAGATTATGTTGATTCTGTAGATTAACTGGCCACCTGACATTTTTTTTTTTTAAAGATAAGATCTCAGGCCAGGGAGATAGCTCAGTGGCTTAAGCACCTGCCTGGCATGCACAAGGTCCCAAGTTTGATCTCCAGGAATTAAAAAAAAAAAGAGTAATGTTAGCTTGGCATTGTGGTGCATGCCAGTAATCTCAGTACTCAGGAGGCTGAGGCAGGAAGATCACCATGAGTTCCAGGCCAGGCTGGGCTACACACTGAGTTCAAAGTCAGCCTGAACTACATAGTGAGAACCTGTCTCAAAAAAAGAAAAATGATGGCCGGCCTGATAGCTCAGTGGACTAAAGCGCCTGCTTATAAGCGGCAGAGCACAGGCCCTGGGTTCAGTCGCTGGTGTGCCAGTGCCAGCCCTGCCCTGGGGCACTGCTAAGACCCAACTGAGACTGGGCATGGTGGTGTGCACCTGTAATCCCTGCACTTGAGAGGCAGAAAACATGAGTCTGATCTACATAGTGAGACCCTGTGGACCCTGCCCTAAAAACGGAAAGAAAGAAAGAAAGAAAGAAAGAAAGAAAGAAAGAAAGAAAGAAAGAAAGAAAGAAAGAAAGAAAACCTGAACCTTCATATTTATCATCAATGTTCTGTGGGGGTGCTAAAAATGAGTAAATGGGGGAAAGAACAGTCTCTTTAAATGGTGCAGGACAACTGCAAAGCCACATACAAAAGAATGAAGTGGATCTCTGGTCACATAACATACAAAAATTAATTCAAAATTGACAAAGAAACTATCTTAGAAGAAAATACAGGGGTGAATCTTCATGACCTTGGACAGGCCAATGATTTCTTCACTACAAGCAAAAGTGCAAACAAGAAAACACAGATTGATAGGACATCATCAATCTTAAAAAATATTGTGCTTCACCCCAGGCCTGCCAGGCCGGTGCCAGTCCCACACCCAGGTAGCCCTGAGACAGCAACTGAGACTGGGCATGGTGATGTGCACCTGGAATCCCAGTTCTTAGGAGGCTGTAAACAGGCAGATCACTAGGAGTACAATCTAGTAGTGAGACCCTGAACACCCTGTAGACCCTTCCCTAAAATAAAATAAAAAAAGAAAGAAATTGTGCTTCAAAGGACAACATTGGGGGCCAGGGAGATGGCTCAGTAGAATAAGTGCTTGCCTGGCAAGCACAAGGGCCTAAGATCAATCCCCAGTTCCACCAAAAAAAAAAAAAAACAAAAAAAGGACATTAATAAAGTAAAACGATGGGGTCAGCGAGATCGCTCAATGGTCTAAAGCGCCTACTTAGGCAAGCTTAGGCAGGTGCAGGGAACTGCAGATTGATCCCTGGCACCACATGCTACACCAGCCCTGAGCTGGCCAAAAAAATAAATAGGGCCAGCCAAATAGCTCAGAAGATTAAAGGGCCTGCAAGCAGGTACAGGGGCCGGGGATTTGATCCTGAGGCCTGCCATGCCAGATCTGCCCCCACCCCACCCCCTGGGTGCGCTGAGATGGTAATAGAGACTGGGCGTGGTGGCGCACACCTGTAATCTCAGCTCTTGGGAGGCTGTAAACAGGTGGATCACTACGAGTCCCATCTAGCAGTGAGACCTTGAACACTCTGTAGACCCTTCCCTAAAATATAAAAAATAACTAAATAAATAAAAAGTAAAAACCCCAGGATGAGAGAACACTTTTGTAAATTACATATCTGACAAGGCACTTTATCTAGAATATATAAAGTACTCCTCCAAAGCTGGGCATGATGGTACATGCCTATAATCCTATCACTGGAGAGGCTGAGACAGGAGTATTTTGTGAGTTCAAGGCCTGCCTGGAACATACAACTAGAGCCTCAAACAAAGCAAAACACTATACTCCTGCAGCTAAACAATAAAGACAAATCAGTTTAAAAGATGGGCAAAAGACGTGAATTGGCAGTTCTCCAAAGAAAAGATGCAAATGGCCAATCAACACCTGAAAAGATGTCCAACTATATTTCTTACAAATATTTAGGGTAATACAAACCAAATCCACAATGAGACACTGCTCTTACTAAGGTGGCTACAATCAAAGGCCAAGCAACAAGTGTGAAAGACACGAAAAGCCTGAACTCCTGCCCTGCTGGGGAGGACAGGCGGAGCGGGGCTGCTCCTCAAGCCTACAGACACACACCTCCTCAGCTACATTAGGCATCATGGCCAAAAAGTACAGACCCCCCAGAAGGGCACCAACTGACTAGAAAAAGATAAACGAAAATGCAACTTACCCATATAAGGGATTTTTTACTTTGCAATAAAAAGGAGAAAGTTCTGTTAAGTATAAAAGTGCACAAATATAGAAAACACAGTACTAAGTGAAAGAAGCTAGGAATAAAAACCTAAGTGTTAGCTGGATGTGGTGGCGCACGCCTGTAATCCCAGCGCTCAGGAAGCTGAGGCAGGAGGATCACTGTGAGCTCAGGACCAGCGTGGGCTACAAAGTGAGCTCAAGGCCAGCCTGACCTGCATAGGGAGATCCTGTTTCAAAACCCTAAGTGTTGTAGTATCCCAGGTACAGAAGTTTCCGGAATAAGACAGAGCTGCCTAGGGCTGGGAGAAGGCAGAAGGCAAGAAAGCACTGTGGTGAGCGCAGGTTTTCCATGTGACAGTGGGGACCGAACACAGGACCTTCACATTGAGCTGCATCCCTAGCCTTCTTTTTGAATTTTTATTTCTTTAATTAGGTCTAAGTCTCTGGTAGTTGCCCAGGTGGGGTTCAAATTTGCTATCGTCCTGGCTCAGCCTCCCACGGTATATGGAGTCACAAACGTGCACTACCTTTATGGGACAATAAAAATGTCTAAAGCTTAATTGTAGGTAAGGTTGCACAATTTTATAACTGAAAACCCATGACACTAAGCACTTTGAGTGACTTAACACACAGATGTAAATTTTATTTCCATAAAGCTGTTTATATAAAATCAAATGCAATCCATCAGAACTGAAATTCAGATACTGTAAACAACTGTTACCTCACATTGCAGCTATTTTAAAAAGCAGTAAAAGAAAAAAAGCAGGTTCCAGGGAGATGGCTCAGTAGAATAAGTGCTTGCCTAGCAAGCACAAGGGCCTGAGTTCAATCCCCGGTTCCACCAAAAAAAAAGCACAGACATCTGCATTTATTGAGTGATCCACATGCCTGGAACTGAACATTTTCAGCACTGAGGCGAACCCTCCAAGTGGGCTGACAGTGTCTCTCTCCTTCCTCCTTTGCTGAGAAGCCCATAGACCTGGAGCTGCAGACCTGGTTGGATCTCACAGCCTCCTTTCCAGCTGCGTACAGCTATGAGACTGAGCTGAGTTCTGGCTCACAGGACCGAAGCAGAGGTCTGCACAACCTCAGGAGTCTTGGTCTGCTGGCTGGGTATGGAACCAAAGCCCAGCACACTGACTTTCTTTTTTGAGAGGGGCTTTCCTTCTGCCTGATGTGCTGCCAGCTGGAGCTCAAACAGCTGTTTTGAGCCATGAGGTCAATCTCCAAAGGTAGGCCATGAATGACAGAAGCAGGATGACCCTCTGTGGATATAGGGAGCAGACTCTCCAAATCTACACCTGCCTTTGGATTTATTTAACCACTGTTATATCCTTTTTGTTCTATGAAGCCTAACATCCTAGTACACCTCCTACTGATTTTGGGATGGCTATTGTCACTGGCTCATTTTTAAACTGATAAAATAAAGTCTGAGCAGTGAAAAAACCTGCCATATTCCTAACTGTTGATTAAGTCAACTGCAGGGTTTGAAGTTCTCGTAAGGCTCCTGACACTAGAATTTGCTATTAAAGAGAACTACTGTCACCCAGCACGGTGGCAAAAGACTATAATCCCAGCACTTGAGTAATCCCAGCACTTGAGATGCTGAGACAGGAGAGATGACAAATTTGAGCCTATCCTTAGCAATTATATATATATAATTTATCTTTTGGATACAGGGTCTCACTATGCAGTCCGAGCCTGTAGTGCTCCTCCTACCTCACCTCCCTAGTGCTGGGATTACAGGTGTACACCACCACACCTGGTCTGAGCCAGCACAGCATGCCTGGGGTTCCAGGGCGAACTGGACTTGTAGGGCCAGGGATTGAACTCGGGACCATGCGCTTGCCGGGCAGGCACTTATACCACTGAGCTATCTCCCCAGTCCTATCCTAAGCAATTTAGCAAGTCCCTGTCCCAAAATAAAAATGAAAAAAAGGACTAGGAGAGCCAGCGGTGGTGGCACATGCCTGTAATTCCAGCACTGCAGAGGGTGAGGATTACCCAAGACTGATGCCAACCTGGGCTACATAGTGAGTTCAAGACCAAACTGAACTACACTGCAGGAACTTGTCTCAGTAAATAAATAAGGTGCAAACCCTGGGTTCAATCCCCTGGGTTGGAGGGGAAAAAAACTATTCTTGGGGCCCTGTAGACCTCTTGCTAGCAGGCATAAGCACCCTGGTTCAATTCCCAGCACCACCAAAACACATAGACATTAAAAAAAAAAAAAAAAA